CGTGAATCTCAGTATATAAATCCACTGCACACAGCACTGCACTTGTCCGCTGCACCTTGCACTTCGGGCACTTCAGACCCGTTCGGTGCATTGCTGGTCTGATTCTTCTCGTTCGTCTCGTTGGTCTCCTCCTTCTCGCCACCAACCACACCCACGACCTTCGCCTGCGGCAGGTCAAAACCAATCTCTTGGTGATTGTTCGTGCTTTCGATAGAGCGTCCTTCAACAGAACTGCTGAGCTTTCCCAACTGAACTGCTGAGCTCCTTCAAAAGCACCTTCACAATAAATAACTAAACAAGAGCAGTCTTTCGAAAGGGAAAAGCAACCATCCTGGATTAAGGCAAAGGCTCCTAGCTCCTACATTAGGAAAGCATGAGCTTGTTGACATGGGTCACCTGATGGTGTGGGTTTGGATGGGCATGGATTCGGTGCGATCTGTGACATCGAAAGTCTTTGGAGGAGGTAAGTGATGCTTTTGTCGGTCACACGACTTGAGAATATTCCCCAACATACTGCACCCTAATAGCGAATAAGAGCGATGGCCTCCACCCTTATAGCCATGGCCTGCAACCTAGAAGCGATGGCCTCCAACCTAAGAGCGTTGGCCTCCAACCTAACTATATTTCAGTCAAACAAATGTTATTGATTGTTCATTGGTTCATCAAGCGGCGTCGACTCACCTACGGATCGAATCAACCCTTTTTGCAGGTGTGGAACGATCGAATCAACAACACACCGCCGTGCGCACACGATCGAATGCAGGTGCTGCGGTGTCAGGTCTCAACCGCGCACACCGTCCAGAGTCCCAACTCGCTACGGTGTGAAGAGCGTCCCAATGAGTCGTTTCAAGAAACCCAACAGGTCCAACAAACCAGAGGCCCAACTTGCCCAACACAACAGGTCTAAGGCCGTCTAGGGCCAGGGTGAAGTATGGTTTATAGTCTTTGGAACCACTGGTGACCTACTAGTTACCAACGTTCGTCCTGGAGTGTTTCGCGAGCCTCCACCACAATAGGTACCGGTGTCACACCAGCCGTCCCTTCTTCTGCTTTGACGCCTCCAGGCGACCGAACAATCAAGAACAGAACATGACTTCATAAGAGTGGAAGCACGTGCAGCTCTTGAGACTTTTCACACTTTTGTACGCGCGCGCATCCTTTTGCAATTAGAGATGCAGCATCAAAAAATGCAGCTTATAAAGATTTTGAGGGTATAAAAAGGCAACTTGAGTTGTCAAAAGGTTTTTCCTGAAAGCGGCTGTAAAAGTCACTCTGATGGGGGCCCGCTTCTTGTTCAATACGTTTCAGAGAGGGTATCTGGGATGTATAGAACTGTGAGGAATTTCAATCAAAGGTGCAGATTGTTGCAAACGTATAGCGCGAAGGCCTCTTATAACTCTTTGATGATCTTTTGTTGTCTAAGCTAGCCATGCTGTGAGGAATTTGATAGGGAAAGAGTACATAGGCAGCTTTCCAAGTGGTAATGGCGAAGATCCGCTTCCAGGACAAATGGACATCTGATCACATTTGAGAACTGTGCTAGCGCAAACCTAGCCCACAAAACTCAGAACTTTTCCCAGTTTGAGGTAACAGCAAACACACATCACTAATGTCGCTTCTGTATTTTCCCCAGTTAAGTATACTTTGTATACTACTATATATATATACCCAAAAGTATGTCAGCACACAGCCTGATCTACGGCAGTTGCACCATTCCCCCGCAAGATGCGCAGGATTTCATCAACCAAACCAAGTGAATCATGTTGATTCTAAACACATCTATATGCGACAAGTAAAAAATCAACCGCGAACCTAGCGCCAATCTAGCGCTGCCTTGGTGATTTGCTTAATTCTGCTGGGGGCCCGCTACTAAACGAATACGAAAAATCAACAACCCAACCATTTTGTGCGCCTCCTTTCACAAAAGGTTTTTGACATCTCATCATATGCTGATTTGCGGTCACAGGCTGTAGGACTTTGTGGAGTATCATGGGTAGTTGGTACAATCTATTCTCACATGCTTCTCCTCCCCAAAACGAGCTGTATGCGTATTTGGGGAGTGAACAAATAGTAAGCCTCAGAGACATTTCACCCCGGATCGGCTCCGGTCAGGTCTCACCGTGGTATCGGTCGTCTCTGTATTCGTTGACCCCCCCACCACCTTGAATCAGAAAACCTCGTCATATTGGTTTCTATGATCAACAGTCTATTACGTCAAGGATGCACCCCTCCTTCAAAGTTTGTAACCTCAAGAACCCTTAAGGATCCTTAAGCTCCTCTAGAGGTTGTCAATTGCCACGATGCTCACATTGCCACAATCAGACGTCAGCACGGCTCGCGGCTCGCCACCATTCCGATGGGTCCCATGGGATCCCCTTTTGGGGAACGACCACCGACGGGTCGTTCCGGGGAACGACCCCTCGGTGTTCGACGATCCAACAGCCCTCCAACGGCGCCCTCCCGACCGGGTGAGGTGGTTGTTGTGGTGGTTTCTCTGCGACGCCTGGATCCGGCAAAGCAGCCAGACTTGGTGGTGGGACAGGTGGCGGACGTGGTGGGATCTGCTTGTAGAACTTGTAGCTGGCGAAGAAATACGGCCAGGTCGTCACCATGAAAAGAATGAGTCCACCTTGTAGGCAGTGTGGCAGCGATGTCTTGTAGTGGCAATGCGGAGAAGAGTCAAGTTGTGCGGGGTCTCTTCTGATCCATGCGAGGCTGCGAACAGTTCCAACACTTGGAGATCTTTCTGATTCATCCGCAATGAGTCATTGGCACGAATGACAAACTGTTTCCGAAAACAAAATCTGATGTGATTCATCGTGATGCCACAGTTGGCAAGTGTCCAAGTGTCCCTGTCAGCTAGCCTTGAACATCAACGAAGTTTACCATGCATCAAACCATATCAAACCAGCACCACGGAAAGGAACACATATATCATATCAGCCACCGCTACTGCTATACAATGGGGAGACCCTCTGACTGCTGAAGTGAAACAGCCAATTCCCCCTTCACCCATGTTTGTTGGTCTTCAGAAGACCTAATAAGAAAAACACATCAGAACGCCTTCACTTGTTCCTCTGCCTCATTTGCAACTTGTTGGGTCAAGGACAGAACGAACTTCCCTGAAGACGGTTGCTTGGCAAAGTGCTCACTGAAGCAAAAAACGCTACAATAACTCAAAAAAATAAGCACGAAATCCTCTCATATCCAATCAAGCTTGGGGTGGTTCGCCACTTCTTCCACTTGCGCGCAAGACATGCGCACCTCTGACCGTCTTACATGAGTTTCTTGAGCGGCTTTAACAAAGCGTGCCATGAGATTGGAATATCGAAGCCACTTGAGCATACTTAGTTGCTTGCAACACATATGTGGTTTACCCTTTTTGACGCGACGATAACCCCTTTCGTGAAGGTGACTTGAAGACCCCTACGAAAAGGGTCCTTTGTTTCATTGGACTTTTGTTGGGTCGGGGTACATCCCATGGGAGTGTAAAAGTCAATATATAGTGCCGGACAAAATCGGGTGGACATTGCCTAAGGACATTGCCTAGAATGGGTCGGCCCCCTATGCAGGTGTCAGGTTTGCAGGGTTGGCTGCAAAGCAGGCCCACTTGTTACCCTCAGTAAGTTTCAAGCTTTGTTGGTGGCATCAAGCTTGCCATAGTTTGGCATGCCAACAGTGAGGGCACGAATCAAAATGCAGTAGTCCTTGTACAAGTTGTGGGGAAGTTGCTCTTCCATGGAGACAAACATGTTCAAAGTGGGCATCGGTCGGCATCGGTTGGGGCATCGGTAAGGCAGTGCGGTGAGACAGCTTATTCAGTGGTTGGAAGCTTGTTGGTATTGCAACGCATATTGTATATATACTATACTGGCGTAAGCAACTCAAGCTGAGAAGAGAAACCAAGTTTTTGCGTACAAATGTAGCATGGCAGCGTGCTCCCTTAAGTTTTCGGTACATCGAAAGGGCATCGGTAGACGGGTCGGCCCCCATCGGTTACGCAGGTTTGATGCAGGTTTGATGCAGGTTTCCAATATCCCAAGACCACCCTGTGACTGCTTTTAAAAGTATGCACTAGATTTTGTCTGATGCTAATATGTATGTGTTTTTCACGGTTGAGTTTAGAGCATCATCTCTGCATGTGCTTATCTTTGTTCTACGTTGTCGAGCAAGCTTTGGTCAAGGTCGTGGCTCAAGAACTGGGTAAACATGGAGATCCATTGGAAAGCCATTGGGAAAATCCATGGCCCACTTGGGTCCACCGTGACTGCGAAGAGTGTCAAAGGCTGAGAGTCAATATGAATCACATCCCAAATCCCAGCATTGCTTTATTCTTATATACTTTTGGGGGGGCCTGTGCACAAGAAGGATCAGGACTCGGACGTCTTGCTCTATTCCCTGCTTCATATTTGACGGTGATTGAATGTGTTTGATACTTTGAACTGGATCTGATGTCAGAAATGCACCAAAGGCAACAACACTGGACTGGCTCTCCACCATCCCACACTCGCCCACCCTTGGGAGCCTAGAAAAAGTGGCATGATCAATCCCACCAAGACATGGGGGAAGAGAAGAACGCAGCCAACTCTCACCAGATTTGCCACGGTTGGATCGCGCAGTGCTTTTGCCAAGGTAGGGCCCACCATCGCGAATGCCATGATGCCATTCCACACTGAGAAGAAGAACCTCAGAGCTGCCCGGAGTCGGGATTCCACCTCCCACCTTCTAGAACAACCGAGTCAACCAGCTCCCTAGGTCCCGAACGCGCCGGTGAAGCACACACTGGGTGGTCTTGTGGTTGGCGATTTAGCCTTACAAGACTACACAAATGCCCTCAGGACTAGCCTTAGGCCCTGGGTGCCCTTTTCTTGGGGCTCCTGGCGAGGGCAGAAGTAGAAGAAGTGTGCTTTTTGCGATCAAAACATCATGAAGCAGTGATGCAATGGCTAAGAATGACATCCGATGCCCAGTGTGACTGTCCAAATGGCCTAGAGGGTAACTCTCATTTTGGAAGCAAGGTCACTGCCCAAGAGAAGAGGTGCATGTTGCATCTTTGCAGGGTGACACGGCACTCTTGAAGTGCAGGGGTTCTTGAGCAAAGACACTTTGCTGAGCCAGCCATCCAGCAGCTCTTGTTCGGACGCCCGTCCGCTTCTCCTCATCCGGCCCTTTTCGACCACCCCTAGACGTCCGCTTCTCCTCGACCAAATCCCGAACTGCCGGACGATCCTCACAGCTGAGCGACAGGAAAAAGAAGAACATTCCAACATAGAATGCGAGACCCTGTTCCAGGTTGAGAACCACGCCCTCGAACACCACCATCGCGGCGAGAGTTCGTTCTGCTGTGAGCGTTAGACCACGGCTTCGGCGGGCCGAAGCCCAAGGTGAACGTACTGGTTTGCTCAGCCTAAGGTGTTTGCCAGAAAAAAGAGAGACAGGTTCAATCAATTTGATTTAAAGAGTTGCCTTGAAGAACAGCAAAGGCAGATAACATCACCGATTGGATCATCATTTGTCGTTCTTCTCCTGCCTTCTTCTCAGGAATGATAGCAAAACATCTGTGATATATGACCCAAAGAGTTCATTTTGCGGGCAAACCTTTGAACCGGCCGGATCTTCGCCACTGACTCGCCCGATCAATTCGTGATTGACTCGCCACTTCTTGGTCACATCTGACTGAGCCACAGGATACAGGGTATGGAAAGCGATCGTCCTCCGAGTGGAGCTTGGAAAACCTTGTGAAACGGATGCAGTGAACAACTGCCTACTTCTAAGCAAACAACGACCAATCGTCGGCTAGCGGACACATAGATTCACGGTTTTGAGCAGACCTCATCGCTGACCGAAACCGGTGCCAGTCTGGACTCCTATGTTTTCTTCGCCTCTGGGCTCGGGCTTTGGACCCATCACAACGGGGGAAATGGACCGAACCAGCCATGTAGCAGGACGCGTGAAAGGGTCCACTGTCGCCTCTGGGCGAGCTTCGCTGATTTGATCCAGACTCTTTCAGAGTGCGGATTTGTGCAGATCACGACGGTCCGCGGCCTGGATCAATGCCAAAAAGCGTGACCAGTTGCATAGAAGAATGGTGTCCCCACAATCAAGTATCTGATGAAATGCATCATGATGGTGTTCTTTGGAGGTCTAACTAGGGAGAAACAGTGTCTGAAAACTGGGATCGGATGTCGAAGCAAGGGACCACACCCGATTCTTTCTGCAGCGGGACCCGTGAACTGACCAGACGTTTGTACATTCTCAAAGCAATTGGCGAGTGCTGGCCCAGTCTACCTTTCGGCAGAGTGCAGCAAAACTCACGCACGATGCGAAGAGCAGAACAAAAACTGGTGATGGCACAACTAAATTGGCCTTCTGCAGAAACTGTCCGTGGGCACGATGAAGACATCCTGCTCCATCGGGCCAACCAAAGAAAAACCCAATGCAGCATTGGCATTGGCAACACATACAACCTGTTGATCTATACTTGCGTCTCAATTGACTCTTGCAGTGACATGTTCAACTCAGATTGACATGTTGTCCTGCTTCTCGTCAATCTTGACCCCTGACAGCGCGAGAGCAACGAGCATATACATTGACTAAACTGTTGCACCCTGCCAAGGCATGCAGCAACTGTAGTCCAACAGGGTTCATTGGAAGTAGTCTTTGAGGCAGCCTGAACTTCCTTCAGGCACAAGGTCTACAATCAATTGCGTGCCGGCGTGTCCTATCACTAGGTAGGGGAATCCAACGTCCATGTTTGAACGGACATCTTGAAAAGAATCAACCCATGTTTGCAAGGCAGCAACAAGCGATAACAACTGGCAACAATCGAATATGATGCAAAAAAACACTCAGAAAGAACTGGCAAAGGAACTCCAACTTGAGCGCCCCCAGCATCCTTCAGCCACAGAACACCAAAGCAAATCGACAGCTCGTGCAAGCCGCATCCAACAATCAACCACGTGCGACTCAAAGTCTAGAAACAATAGCTTCTTGCTACTAGCAATGGCCTCCAATCTAATAGCGATGGCCTCCACCTAATTCGTAGCTTCTTGCTACCAAAGGAAACAAGGAGGACATCAATCAAAAACCAGTTTTACATGTACTGTTTCATCGTGTATCATCATGTTCCTCAGTGCACATCGAGTCAAAAGGGCCTAGGACGGGACCTTGTGACCTTTGCTTGTTGTAAACGTAAACGCAAATGGCTAACAAACAGCTAATTACTGTTTCTGACTCCATCCCTTGATTCATCTCAGTCAAAAATCCACGGCAAAACAGTTTGGTTTCCGCTGCATCTTGCACTGCGGGCGCTTGAGACTCGTTTGGTGCATTGCTGGTCTTCTACTTCTGGCTCGTCTCATTGGTCTCCTCCTTCTCGCCATCCACCACACCCACGACCTTCGCCTCGCGGCCGTGGCTGTGGATGGGACATGCTCGTGCCTTTCCAGACGCATGAGCTGATAGACTTGGGTAAACTGATGGTGTGGGCTTTGATGCTAAGGGATTCTTCAGGTATAGTGTGGAACGGATATGAGGTAATTATCCCAGACCATCCATGGAATAGTGACATACATCGTACACCTCATTCATGAGCACAAAGAAATATATATATATATATATTATAACTATTCCAGTTCCATGGATGGTCATCGAAATGCCTTGTCGCGTGTGTCCCGTGTCGTCACGAGAACACCTGCCGCCACTGGTGACCTGTCGTCACCACTGTATGCCCCGTCGTCGTCCCCGACACACCCGCCACTCCGCCACTCCTGTCGCCCTGCTTCGTGCTGTCACTCTCTGGTTTTGCTGTGGCACGTAGGAGAGACAGGTAAAGCTCTCTGGGTCGAACGGCGGAGTCAAAGATATCTTCATGCCACTATGATCCGCTATGTGTCAGGGGCTTATGACGTATGACAAGTCATTACACTAGGTCATTATGTTTAAATATGTTTAAACTTTTAGGATGTTCTATATGGTGTGGTACCGGTGTTTTTGATGCGTCTCGCCTTTGGAACCGGTGAATTTCGAGGGGCCCGGGATCTGCCGTTCCGGGGATCCCGTTGGCGGCCTCCGCGCCAGCTGCGACCGGAGGTGGCTCTTCTGCGACAGCTGAGTCAGAGGGCGAAAGGACCCCTTTCAAAGGACCGCGGGCATGGTGGATTCATTTGACCAGGGGGGGGCTTTTGATGCTCAATGCTGAAAGCTCAACGAAAAGAACAAAAGCTCCTGTTGCATGTCAATCATCTATGTGTGATTATATATGCATTGTAGAGGGGGTGTTCAAGAAGAAACAAACTCACTGATTTCGGGTCACAGGCTACAGGACTCTGTGGAGAAAGGCGCAGTTCCAATGCTGCTTGATCCTTTGAAACGATACTTTTTCACACTGGTTTGTAAATCAACACCTCTTTCTGAAAACTCATCTCTCCTAACAAAGACTATTTAAAGAAATAAAATCTGATTGAACCCTAAGATTCAACATTGACTTAAGTAACCGGCAGCAGGGCACAACCCCACGACTCTCAAGCACAGTATCTATGTGATCATGCGTCCTCAAACAAGTCCAGAACCTGAACACCATTTTCACACCCTCTTCAGACTATGCCAGACTCCTGGCTCGACTGGAGCAGTGAGCAACAACTCCCGCTGGACATGGACTGACTGGGTCTGACTGGGACAAGACAACGATGGACAAACAACGATGTCGACGGTCATGACCTTTGAAGGTCGCGGCCATTGATGGTCACCTTTGGAGGGGTATTCGAATGATGTATTTTTCAAACGACAAATGGAAGAAAACGACACCCTTCTGGAAACAACACAAGAAATCGTCCTGATTGTAAGATGAGACGCTGGTGGAGCCTCCTGCTTGCGGGAGAAGTTCTAGGGGCATCCTGGTTCTTCAAAGTGACCTATTGAAATTTGATCCCATGGTTCGAGGTCACTTGGGCCTGTAAAGGGGGATCATTTGAGGGACCAAAAAGGATCGAACAACTGACTGGATGACGAAACTCCAGCTTTCCACGCGTTCGAAAACCCGAGGCTTCCTCCACGAACTCGCACCCTCTTCGGTCCGAGCCGTGCACCCCGCCAGCGCCTGCATCCGGTGAACGAGCCGCGGCTCTCTGACGCTGGTAGAAGGTGTAGCAGGCCACGGGATATGGCCAGGTCGTCACCAGAAACAGAATGAGTCCGCCTCGGGGCTCGGGGCTCGTGGTGCTCGTCTTCGTGAAGGTCTCCGCGGATGTTTTGATATGTTTTGCTTTCTTGAAGGTATCATACCGCATTAATTAAGCTATTCTTCAAATTGCTACTTCTCAAGTACATTACCACTGCTCAAATGTCTTCTTCTGTTTGGGCAAGTTACAAAAGTTAAGATTCCTACGTTCTTTTGGCGTTGAAGACGCCCGTCATCATGCGCCACATTTGCTTTGAGGCTAAAAGGCCGGATCGGGGCACGGTTTCTATAGGAATGTGAGTCCAATCAAGTCCATAGTTATTTTGTGTTCTTTGGATGTCTTTGTAATTCAGTCTTTGTGTGTTGCGTTGTCAAAGCAAAAGGCTCCTCCCAAAGATGCCATTCCCAAATGTACGTAATTCCTAGGTCAATCCCTCCTAATGACCTGATTAAATCTAGAATGGGGGTTTGTAAAACAGTGGATTGTAAAATCTAGAATCCCCCGCCGACAGTGGATGGTAAAACCTCTTCAGATGGGACGCGCATCCTCCGTCTTTCGTTCACCCACCTGTCCCACCAGCGGACCGAGACCTGTCCGAGCTGAAGAGTGGGTGTCACCCAAAGCGGGAGTCCCACCAGTCGGATCCCAAAGTCTAAAAAAAAATCCTTCGTTCGATTAGATCCCTTTGATCCGAAGGACCTGGCTCTCGAAAAACGGCATGGCACCTTCCACATGGCTCTCCACACTCGCCCGCCCTGAGCCCCGGCCTAGAAGCGCTGGCACGACCAATCCAATCAAATTGGCGGGAAAGAGCACGGCCGTCAGAGCGTTCTTCCGATTTCCGCTGGTGCGATGGTGCACATAGGTGGCCACGGCAGGACCCACCAAGAAGAAGGAGTTGAGGGCATTCCAACCCAAGAAAAAGAGCCTTATAACGCTGCCGGGTGCAGGAACTGGGTGCAGGAACCAAGAGAAACCAGAAATCAGGTTTCAGCTTCTGAAAGGGTATACGGACGTATGCGGTAGATGTGGATAAGTGCTTTTGTTTGCGGGGTGTGGCCCGAAACTAGTCGACTCAGGATGGGAATCCCGGAGATTTCCAGAGTATTGTCACCTGAGGGAGGAGGCTCATTTTGGAACACACGATTCGGCTCATTTCTGGAACACATGATTCGGCTCCTTTCGCACTGGGGAATAGACTCCGGTGTTCGATAGAAGTTTGTTGATATGTAGCGTGCATGCGATGTCATACCGGTTCGTGGGTCAAATTTAGAGGAGGAAGGTGCCATTCCAAGGTCGTATGCCTTCCTGGGTTGCTTTGTTGTTTTAGGTTGTTTGATCCCCTTCAAAATCAGTGGGGCGCGGGGGAGGGCGCAGCTCCCCGCAATGTAAACCAAGTCTGGTGGCTTCGTTGGTGGCTTCGTCTTTGTCGCTTCCCTTCCTGGGATGCACGGGCCCCGTCGTTCTTTCCAAAAGACCACCGTGCCCCACTGTGCCGTCCGCAGCAGGTGGAAGATTCCCGGCCCGTTCTGGGACTCCCGCTGCCGAGCGACATGGAACCGAAGAAGATTCCAATATAAAACGGGAGGCCACGTTCCAGGTTGACCAAAACGCCCTCCGACACCCCCATGACCATGACTCCAAGTCAAGTCTGCCAGTGTCGCAAAACAAGGCGAGTCCGGTCAACAAGATCAAAAGGGCGCGAGGGCCGAATCTCAGCCTATTAATGGTGAATGCACTTGTTTGGTTGCTGGGCGTTAGATGGGAAGATGGACAGTTTCGAGATGTTTTGAGCTTGCTTCAGGGAGCCAAAAAAAACTATAAGCATAATAAGCACTCCTTTGTTGTTCTTGTTCTGCCCATTTTCTCAGGGACATATGACACTGGCGCCATTCGCCAACTGGCAAATACATTGGCTCGAGCCGGAGACGGTCTCTTGGCTAACCATCGCAAAAGCACGTGGCCCATCCAACTAGACGTGGCCTAAGCTTAAACCTTCGTGAAAACCACATAAGGTCAGCGCACCCATGCAGTGGAACTGAATAGTGAACAGGTGAAGTTTCAGTTCGTTCCACTGAAGTGTCCCACACTTGAACTGCAGCCAGCACTATATGCCTAGAACGCGAGTGACCCCTGTTTTTGGAGGATCAACCTTCCAAAACAGGATCTTTTCCTGTCAAAAAAGTAAGCGGCTCAACAGGCTATATAATTAGAAGGTTGGAACTCAAGTGGTCCACACCATCGACAGAAGTGACCCGACAGCGAACTTGGCTGCTCTCACGTGCCAAGTCAGACGCACCGTGCGACCGAAGAAGAGCTCGTAGACTCTGAAACGTGCCGGTAGAATACGCCCCTCAAAGGGTAGACGATTGGAGAATAAATATCGAAGAAGGAGAATGATGGAGAATATAAGCAACGTAATTATCATGTGTACTATCCTCATATGATATAGACAGTACGTAGAGTACTTGCGAAACCTCTGCTGTACGACGCGCCCGCGCAGTTTGGACCGTGCTTGGCATGCATCGGATCGCCGGACTTCGCTCCCTCTTGGAGGGAGCGCCGGTCGACTTGACCTCGCTGGGTGCGAAAGCTGTACCCAAAACAGCCTGGCTGTTCAAGAAAGCTCATAGTTTCCGAAGTGAAAGGAAGTATCAAACCTACTGTACATCTTCCAGTGGCCTTCCTTGTTCCAATTTCGGCGCAAAGTTCAGAAGAGCTCCTTCTTCTCGGCAACGGCAACGACTGGCAGGGAGCAGTTTGGATACACCAACGACAACCCAACTAAAGCACATCAAACATCCACATGATACCTTTGCCAAATGCTAAAACAATCAAAAAACCACCCAAAATCGCTCATCTGTTTGTTATGGGACCCCAACTGGGGTGTTCATGTTGGGAAGAGTGGAATCCACACTTCAACCCTTCGAACTTCCAACTGCTTCAAAAATAATCTGGATGGATTTCTGAAAGCAACCTGACCACTAAGGGATAACAAAAAAAACGACAACCAAAAGACACTGGCATCTTCTATCAAGCAGCCGTGCACTTCAGCTGCTGGCACTGGCTCATTGCTGATCTCATTGGTTTGGTGGCTCACCTCCGTGGTCTCAACTCCTACCACTGTGGCCTGGTCACCACGCGGAGAAACGGTCGAAGCGGTGGGTAGATTAATGATTGTAAATGAAGTTGTGTTCTTCTTCACCCACAAGGGCAAAACACACGTGCAAACCACTTTGTGCCTTCTGACAGGGCTTCAACAATAAGAAATTATTGTCTTCTTGATGAGTAAAGCTGGCTCGGGGAAAACCGCAGAGCCGATGGACGGTCCATGCTACATTCACTTGTTGGGACACGTACGGACCGTACGGATGACACTATTCCTGCGTGTCAGCTGGATGGACGGCAGTGCAAAATGGGAGTCTTCCACTCTGACGAAGTTGGGAAGGGAAGATCCTTTCTCTCACGTGCTGCCGGATTTCTCAAAAATGCCAGTTGCATAGCTCGGGGTACCCTAAACGCAAAGCTCCTTGTTTGGGTTCAGAATTCTTTGAAGAAATCTAGCTTTCAATAGGATCCGTAAGCTTCCGAACGCTGGTGGCTGCGGTTGGCTAGCCACCTTTTGCTAGGTCCTCCCTCCGTCAACCAAACAAGGCCCGCCTCCACAACGATGGGCCCCGCAGGTGTTGGAGTATCACCATGACCATGGCCTCGGATTGGTACCACCAGTGGTCTGAGTGTGCTTCCCTTAAGCTTATTGGACCCGTTTTGGTTGGCTCATGTCACGTCCATCTGTGTTGTCACTCACTCGAGACGAATGACTGCATTCGAATGACCTGCACGGTTCATCCATCTGAAGCCTGCACGGTTCACCCTGTTGACCCTCAATAGACATGAACGAATCGCCGAGGTCCCGCGAGTCGAGGTCGATGGGCAACACATCCATCTGTTCGTTTTCGTGGGGTTGTGTTGCCCTCGCCATCCGGTGTTCATCCCCTGAAGCTGATCCTAGGTGAATGATCCCACAAACCGAGGTGTCGGCGGTGTGTGGATTGTGACTCCAGGCTGAGACATTCACATCCTAGTCGAAGAAAGAGGGCACACACACAGTGAAATAACACCAATGGGATCATCCAGTGACAAGACATACCAGGATCATCCTGTCTGGGTGTCTTGGCTGGAGGTCCAGTCCAGCAGTGGGCTGGGTAGCCAGGACACCCATTGGATGACTGGATGACCCAGGCACCATGTCTTTTTCATGTCAATGATATATACTATATATATACTTGGATTTTCTCAAGGATGCAGGACAAAAATATGTCCAGAATGGGATTCACCTGCAGGGAAAAGAACAAATCATCCAATCAGCACAACCAAGTATACAGGTGCAGGATTCCTTCCTGCAGCTGAAGGTCGTTGGAACCATGGGTGGCCTACTATAGCACCTAAATACCTAGATCCTAAATGGACATTCAACAAGTCTCGTTCATCGCAGCGCTGGCAACATTATATATCTACAGTATATGTAACTAAATATGATACATATATATATATATATATGTGATAGAATATATGTTGAATAACTATAATAAAATATGTTGAATATTACATAATCATGTAATACTATACACCTGGACCTATCTCTATATAATAATGATCAATCTATGTTTCTGTTTCCATTTTCCTGACAAGCATCGGTCACACAATGACTTGTTGTCTGCCGCTGATTACTCCAAAGGTCTGGGGCTTGCCGTTCCCGAAAGTCATCTATCCCTGGTTAACACAATGCAAAAACACCTGGTTTTCGTGATTCAATGCTTCCGCATCTGCTTGTCATGATTCATGTGACATGTCTGACATGTCCCGAAAGAAACATAGGGTGGTCCCCCACAAAAACAGTTTTTGGAACTGGAACAATCCCTCTACTGCCACGATGTGCAAACAGCTCCTAAGCAGAAAGAACTCTGTGACAGAGTATCCTGGAACAACACACTTCCACCTAAAGTCCATAGGCTCCAGGCCCTCAACCTCCAACCTCCTTCCAGTGGCTCTATGTGCATGGAAGTTTTCCAATGAACTTTCAAGCTAGCGTTCGGCGTTCGGCGTTCTTTGTCTGAATAGACTGCTTTCAGAACTCTCTAAATCACCAGGCGTTGGCGTTCCGTTCCCCCCTGTGTCGTTCAACCTTCCCTCAGATTGCATGGAACCTCCAGCGATTCTCAGCGAGTCGTGGTCCACTCCACCTTGGAAAACACGGACTGGTCACCGGACTGGTCCTTCTCGAACTGGAAGACGGACTCGTGCATGTCTTCCCCAAATCAAGCAAATTGCAATGAGTAACATGAGTCAAATCCAATGCTTGCTTGGTATCGCTAGCTAAACGACTGGCCATCAATCATATATCAACAAATCAGGTGCATCGTTGCTGCCTATGGTTGGTCCCAGGCTCCACAATGAGAGCCCACGATCTATATCGCCCCGGAAGGACTATGCAGGCACTTACGGGTTGTGGCAAGTGTTCTTCCAGGTTGCTTGTGGTACCATGGTTTTGCGCTTTTGACTTGAATCATGAAGCATGAAGCTTTCTTTTTAAGGGTCTCAAATCTGTTGCTGTAGACTATGGTGGCCATGGCTTGAAGAGTCTGTTTTAGGAGTTGATCTCTTGACCTCGTTCATGTTCGACTTCGTATATTATGTGATTGATAGTACTATAATTACCTTTTTCCGATAGAATCCGACCTTCCGAGCACGCGACACGCGGCTGCGGCGCGCCTGGATCTGGCTCTGGTGGCGGCCGTGGCTTGGCAGCTCGCTTTCGGTTGATCCGGTAGCAGGCAAAGACATGCGGCCAAAGGGTAAGGAGACCTAGACCAATTCCCCCTGCAGGGCGATTTGGCTTCGTCTCACCTCTGGAAAAAGTCAATGAGGCAATATTAAGTGTATCTTTAAAAAGCTTGTGTCAGTGTCAGTTGTACTTTTTTTGTGTGCTGCATCTGGATTGAACACATGCTGTGCCATGATATCCATGGTATCGTCTGCGTCTCGATCTCCGAACCGGCCCCACCTAGCACCGTCGGCATGATCAATCCGACCGCCACATGCGGGAAGATCAGGGCCAGGCCGACTTTCGTAAGATTCCATCCAGTTGGCTCGTGGAAGGCCGTCACCAAGGCAGGGCCCAGAAATGTGAAGGCCATGATGCTGTTCCAAAGGGAGAAAAAGAACCTCGGGCTCAGGAGGCTTTTGACTCAGCATTGAGGTGGCGGGGTTTTCTGTCGCCGGAGCCGCCCGCCCTGGATCCATTTAATTCCTGAAGACACAACGCTATAGGTGTTCTGTTGAAGGTGCCAGTGAAAGTCTTCACCAACAGGGTGTGCCGCCCACATGAGGTTGACATTAACCCCTTTCTTTGCACTTTGCTCAGGCCTTTTGGTCGCCCAGTAGCCTCTTTAAGGTGCACAGAATTGAGAAGATGATCATCAGGTCCCATAGGCGCGTTAGCAGCCAGAGGACCTTGAAGATGCATAACTTTGACCAGCTTGAGTGGACTATACAGTAGCTTCCGCCGTGGAACGGCAACCAACCACCCCGCAAACCGGGCCAACCACCTCGTTCAGGTCCGATCCAACCCACCCAGCGGATCCACTGTGCGACAAACCACATTGAAACCTCTGACTCTCAGTGGATTTGAACATCTTGGATGGCAGGGCTTCCGTCAGTG